ATAATGACTTCTCCACAAATTTCACTGTATAGTTGTTTGCTATTTTTTTTTATCATTCAGTGAATTAAATGGCGGTCTGGTGATTTATACGGCATCAATAAAGTGCTTACTTGAACGTGAAATCTGCGGCGTGAACAAAGTACCTCGCCAGAGCCCCGTCGTCAGGGGGCGTGGCCAGGAAGTAAACTTTAGGACACATGTTGTAGCGGCCAGACTTACAGAACTCACATACACGGCACGTGATGTGTGGGTCCACAGCCACACGGTCACCTGAAGATTAAACAATATACACTGTATATTATAACTAAGAGTATAAAAAAATTTCTTTTTAATAAGATTATGGTAATAATGCATATATGCGTCAAATTTAATGTGCTGGGATAATTTCTTGTAAAAGACCTACACACCAATTTCATTTTTTTTTATCAGCAATACTAGAAAAATGTGATTTGAAATTATCGAGAGTGTTCAAATAAGGTTACCTATTTTCAGGTGTGTAACTCCCTCCCCCACTTTACTGATGACCCCGCTGATTTCATGACCTAGCAGTAATGGTCCAGTGACCACAAAGTGACCAATGGCGCCATCTTTCCAGTACTTAACGTCAGAACCACATATCCCCACTCTTTGGACGGCGATTTGTACTTCTGCAAAAACAATCAAAGTAACAAAACGATTAATCATACAATAATTATCGTACCAATAGAAGTGTCTAACATTTATAAAATCTGCGTTGCTCGATGAACAAGAGTCCTTCTATTTATTTTTTTTTTACAGTACCTCCTCTAACCTATTTACTAGTGTACGAAGACACGATGACACGCTAGGTCATTCTGGGAGCTACATTGTAGCAACAAGTATATTTTGTCTATCTTAACTTCTTATGTCTTTCGAAAAGATGTTGTTCCCTTGCATTATTTGCATTATACATCAGTATGGGAATTCTATGTAGAAATGGTTCTCTTACCACCAGGTCCTGGCTCCTTAATTGGAGAATCCACCTACAAAACCAAACCAATACAATGACACTACAAAGCAAAAATCAATATCATATAGACTGGGTATGAGGGCAAAATGTTTGCCTGAGGCCGTTAGGCCGAAGGCAACCAGTTTGGTTTGAGGGGTCGACAAAACGCAATTTGCCCGAGAACACTGTCAATAAAGCTTTGTTATACCTTTTATTTATTTTTTTTTTAACATACATGTTTCCTTTACCCGCAATGTGGTTAAACTCGGTCAATTCCGTCACTGTCGAACACCAACGAATGCAAATGAGATTGAGCTGATCCCGCCCACAGCGTGACGTTTGCGGTCCAATATCTTATCGACAGGTCCAATATCTTACTCCGCGGTCAAACATCGATATTTTTATGACCGCTCAGTAACACATTCGAAATGAGACATTTTTAAGTATAGATTTATTTAGGAACCAATTCTTAAAGGTATAACAATACATTTTTACTGGTAGTTTGGATTTTTAATATAACATTCTTATCAGTAGATTGGATATTTGGTTGCTTCGACAAATGACGAGATGAGTATAAGCTTCGTGTAAACATGAAGGACAAAAAATGAATGTTTGTACCGACTTTAAAACGATTGTACCGACTTTAAGACATTGTCAAATGTACGATGTTAAATGTTTGTACCGTCTTTAAGACATTGTCAAATGTACGATTGTACCGACTTTAAGACATTGTCATATGTACGATTGTACTGACTTTTAGTATTTGTTAAATCACGATTTCTGAAATGTCATTACTTGTACTGTTTACTAATCGTAAGTTTAGTGAGCATCACGTCAGCGCGTACTGAAAGTTCAAACTAGCGATGAAAATGTATCATCAGAATTTATAACACAGATGATATCTGCATGATAAACATGATATATATCTCCAATATGTTATTTTACAGATATCTTTTCAGCACAACGAGCGTCCTAATTGGGACAGCTCCAGGTCACTATGACTGTAGCTACAGCAAAAATCTAGGACACTTCATAGATAATTAAAATAGTGATAAAATTAAGAAGAAAATTACGGAAGCCGGTAGGTGCCAGGTAGAAAAATATTTTATCTGGCGGCCGCCAGATAAGTTTCTGGCGGCCGCCAAATAATTATCTGGCGGCCGCCAGATAAATAACTGGCGGCCGCCAGAAACCTATCTGGCGGCCGCCAGAAACTTATCTGGCGGCCGCCATATAATTTTTCTGGCGGCCGCCAGATAAAAAGATCTGGCGGCCGCCAGATAACTTATCTGGCGGCCGCCAGATAACTTTCTGGCGGCCGCCAGAAAGTTATCTGGCGGCCGCCACATAATTTCTGGCGGCCGCCAGATAATTTCTGGCGGCCGCCAAATAACTTTATGGCGGCCGCCAGATAAGTTATCTGGCGGCCGCCAGAAAATTATTTGGCGGCCGCCAGATAAGTTTCTGGCGGCCGCCAGGTATTTATGTGGCGGCCGCCAGATAATTATTTGGCGGCCGCCAGAAAGTTATCTGGCGGCCGCCAGATAAAATATTTTTTCTACCTGGCACCAACCGGCTTCCGTAGAAAATAGTTACTAGGCAATTCTTCATTCACCATGAACCTTGGAAATGTGGAAAGGATTGATCAAAAACTGAACAGCTAGTAAACTAATGCACAGTATACATGGTATAATTTTACACCTACCAATCGTAGATCCCCTTTCTTATACAACACGGCGGATAGATTGCTTCCACTCATATTGTCTATACAGAAAGTCAGAAATGCATTTCAGTGAGAAAAAACTAAAATAAACATGACGTTTTTATCGAGTTGCATTATCAATTCATTTGGATTAAGACAAGGAATAAAATAAGACCCAGTTTTAGTACTTACGCTTCTTTACGAATAAGACAAACAGAATGAAGCGTCTGACCTAAATATTGCAAGATAAATAAACTGCAGGAATGTCTGATATAATCTCAGATGAAACAAAATTGGCGGATCTAATTTTTAAAACTATCTCAATCGCACAAAACTGGTGGATCCAAAGTGGAATCAGGTGATTTTTTTTGTTGGGGGGGGGGGGGATGCATGCCTCAAGAAAATTGCATGATCAAAGAAAATATTTAGAAAGACAGATTAAATGAGGATACACTACGCGTACACACTACCCCTGCTCCCCTTCAATTTGCCTGGATCTAAAAATTGTCAAATATAAAGAAAATAATTTTGGAAGTATAACATGTATAATAAAACTTCTAAAAGTGTTATTTATAAATCTCTTCAATAAGTTGCTCAAAGTTCTCTGAATGAGTTAAGATAATAACTTAAAGTTTTTCTATTGCTAATAAAAATATTAAACAAATGAAGAGGCCAGACAGCTTAATATGATATATATATATATATATATATATATATATATATATATATATATATATATATATATATATATATATATATATATATATATATATATATATATATATATATATATATATATATATATATATATATATATATTAAAAGCTTGCAAGACCGGGGGAATCTAGCTTAAAGTAGCCTTATTTTGGAAAGAACGGAAATTAAAAGCTTGAAAGAAGCACATGTTCGCGTTGAATTAACTGTTAGTATCATATAAATTAACTGTTGGTATCATATAAATTAACTGTTAGTATCATATGAATTAACTAAAAGTATCATATAAATTAACTAAAAGTATCATATAAATTAACTAAAAGTATCATATAAATTAACTGTTAAAATCATATTAATTAACTATTAGTATTATATATAAATTAACTATTAGTATCATATAGTATCATATAAATTAACTAATAGTATTATATAAATCAACTGTTAAAATCATATAAATTAACTGTTAGTATCAAATAAATTAACTGTTGATATCATATAAATAAAATTCATACATGTCATCAACATAAGACCAAAAAGGGCAGTTCACAGCATTAAATGCTACTTTTTTTTAAAGATAAAATTAAAATAAATTCCACTTGCAAAATGAAAGCATAATGGCTGGCAGCAAATAATGAAGAAATTTCCGGAAAAGGGATATATTTTGTTTTTCCGTTTATTTGTTCAGAATTTTTAGCCAAGTACCGAAGTTCTTCTTGCCAATTTGCTAATGGTGTTTTATTTTGTAGGTACAGGAAACAATGGCGATCAAACTTTCCAGAAATTTTCAATTGGGTCTTGACTACGGTACCCTAAAATACTGTGTCGATCCGATGTCTGATTTGAAATAGAGGCAAATATTTCGTTGAGATGGAGGGGGGGGGGGTAAGTAAGTAAGGCATATTCAGATAAATAGAAGGTTCCTTGAAACCTGAAGGTCAAATGTCAGGATAACATCATATTTCTATGTTTACAAAGACCTTGACCTTTGACATTGACCCATTTTTAAAGGTCAAATCCAAGAGTTCCATTACAGGTGCTCCAATATTTTTACCAATGTTCGCGTTGAAGTTTTAGGTTTTAACTAAGGAAACTGAGGAACTTTGATCCATCCCTAAAAGCTGCTGCAATTCATCAATTACACTTTTATTTACTCTCAAATTGATGGAAATCGCTGTCAAAACTAGTTAGGATTTCATGGGTTTCCTTAAAACTACATGGACAAAGTAAACTAAAGACTTAATTTTATGTTAAGAAATATTTGATGTTAGAATGCGGTCGGCATGGTCAGTTACTCTCTCTCTCTCAACTTTTGTCCATCCTCTTGCTTTTTTTCATGGCCATGCAAATGCAACAGTTGTCCTGAAAGAAATGCGAGTCTAGCTGCTGTACATGTATATCAGGTAGACAGACATCTCGGCCCAACGACACCTCGGCCCGACACGCTTGACATCTCGGCCCTGACATGTCGGCCCAATATTGTCGTTGTGTCTGACATTCGTATATCATTATATTAAACGAATCATTCACGTAAGCATTAACATTGTTTTGTGTAAGAGCTCTTTTGCGTCGAAGGAAAGAATGTGATTCCCGCAAGTTTTTTTTGTTGAATAAGTGAAAAGAAAATCCAGTGAGTTGATGAAAGAAGACCAGTTGTAAGGTAAATATGTAAACATGATTACACTAGTCTTGCATGAAATTTCTCTTTCAGTAGATCTCGATGTAAAAACCAATGTAAAGTCTGAGTACTCGCCTGATGCCGTAATTTTCTGTCATCTACCCATCTACCTATATACGGGTATCCGTTGAATGAAAAAAAATATAAATAAATAAATAAAGGAAAAGAAACGTAAATAAATGCATTCGATGTAAGATGAATAAATATCAGATTATAAAACAAACAGTTCCTGATGAAAGACTTACGATTCTAAAGACTGGCAATTTTTCATTATTAAGAATTTTCACTTGCCTAACGCTGTACATATCGTCGTTGTTTTTTAGATGCAATCATGGCGACTAAAAGTCCAAGCTTAAACTCCCTGATGAATTACCGTTTTGTCAAGAAGCAAGTTCCTAAACTAACGAGTGGAAGTGAGAGCTTATTCAGCTCGGACACTAATGGCATTGATAGTCCGCAGGGAGTTAAAGAAATGAACAAACAGACAGACAGTCAAACAAGCAGCTGTTCCTCTGCCACAATTCTCTATTCTGATCAGGAAGGCGGGAGTCAAAACAGTGAAACTACCATTCCATATAATCCAAGCCAGAACTTAGGAAGTCAGGATCCCTTCTTACAAAATACAGATGGTAAATTAATTTACTTACATCTTGTATACTAATTAATTTTCCTTTTCATATAGACATCGTAGATAAAGAAACAGGGACATTTAATGCTCAGCAAAGAACTCAGAACCTTATCATGCTTATATATATTCAATGTAACATTTGAAGACACGAAGTAGAAGACTGTGACAGACTGGTGAGACTGCCCAATACTTCCATAAGAAGATATAAAGATCATGAATTGCTTTGGAGTTTATTTACAAAGACTGTCACTCTCTAACTTCTCTACCATTGGTTCTTAATATATTCACAGCTATTGGCTGGAATAAATCACAGTGATTAGCACAATAAATAGTGCATTTGTTTTAATACATTATAATAATTAAATGTGTGAACTAATGATGGTCTTTTAAGGAATTACTAATTCGATGTAGGATTTATTTTATTTGAATTAATCCTTCAGTTGGAGTATCGTCTTTTTTACTTCATCATGTTCATGTCAAAAATCTTTTAAGTTTAAGTTAAGTTAAGTTAGAGGAAAGAATGCAACTCTGAGATGGAGATTGCCAATCTTTGCGTGTTGATTTCAGAGGAGCTGACGTGTAGTCCAGAGTCCCCAATATTTCGTGGAAAGGTCAAAGGGTCAAACAGGAATTGTATAAAGGATGAAGACACAGAACCTGGATCCTCTCCTTGGCTTTCTAAAGAGCAGGGCATAGTTAATGGTGCAGCTTCTACCTCTAAACAAAGGTAAAATGATAGGTTTTGGTACTTAGTTCTATCTTCATACACTGTAAACCAACTATATATTATTCACATCAACTTTAATTCATGATTCGTCAGTTTGAAATGAATACGTGATGATTAATTTTTGTGACTGAGGAAACATTTTCTACAAATACAAAGCAAAATAAATGGTTCGCAGCAATTAATATTCGCAAATTAAAGTAGGTTGCAAAACTTGGTTTACAGTAAAGGTAGATAGGTTCTCAAGCTGTGTAATGGACAGGGTTGTTCCTTAAGACCAGGTCACCAGTGGGCTGGGGAATTTCCCCGCCTATAATGATGTCATCCCCTGGTTATTTTGGTATTCCTCATAAACTCCCCATTACAGGAAGAACCCCAGATCCCCCTCTACTTTTTAAATGTCCTTTCTATTTCAATTCATAGGGACAACCTTGAAAGGAGATCCCAAAATTTGTATAAGGCTCTAAATACGCTCTTGAATACATCTGAGAGGACAAATAAAGAATTCTGTAGACACGTTTTTTTCTTTGATTTCTTTATGTGTATTTGAAGTTTTGACTCTAAATAGGATAAAAAAATGTTTGAATAGATAATTAAGTCAAAAATAAAAATTTTATGAATGTTTGAAATGTGTGTCACGTAACACATGACAGACATATAACGTAACATGACAGACGTATAATAAAACATGACATGATTAAATTACATTTCTGAAGCCTAGCAATACAAATAATCTGTAAAAAATAAAATTAAACAATTCCTTTAACAATGCAAAAAATTTTTCACTCTTACATAGAAGAAAAAAAGATTTTTAAGCTACTTTTGATGCACAAACTGATGATCGTAACACTGACAGACTCCTTTACTTAGCCAGCCAAATCAACCATAAAGTTTCATTATTTTATCAAAAAGGTAATGTTGCCGTAAGAAATGGACATTTTTCAAATTTTGATTCCTTATAGATTTTAAATTTGAATTTTAAAAAATAAATCTCTGCTATACCCTTTGTAAAATACAAAATTTCCATCATGTCTGTCATGTTACCATATTTCTTGAGCAACACCTGTTTGAAACGAGCCAATAAAATTTATCATTCAAAGCTTATCTTTTATTCTTGGAAATTATAATACACAAGACATTATTATTTATGAAAATACTAATGAAATTAAAAAAAATAAATTATTTCATATAGATCAAACCTATATCGTAACATGTACAGATGCACGTAACACTGACAGACTCGTTTTAAAAACTGCAAGAAAACAACTACAAAATTGTATTGTTCAAGTTATAAAGACAAATTTTGCCTTATGATACATGAATATTCTTAAATAGAAATACTCTTTGGTTTAATTCACTAAACGTATAAATCTGAATGCACCCGTTTTATTCACGTAACATGAACAGACATTCGTTTTGTCCGTCACCGTTACGATAGTATTCAGGCAATGTCTGTCAATCGGTACGTTATGTAAGAAATGTCAAATTTTAAGTGTTTATGTAGTGATGAAGAGCGTGCAAGTTCTTTTTTTTTTTTTTAAATCCAAAATACACCTACTAGTTGACAATATTTGATGATATGTGCTTAAAATCTAGGATAAAGACAACTTATATTTTCATGAACATAACATACTTTGTGTAATGTAACATTTGACAGACAAACATTCGTGGCTTCTCGGGCTCTCTCTTTAGCTCTTCTTATCAAAATGTAAACACATTTGCATAGAACACTGGAGAAAATTTAAATATTCATAACTTTAAGTCAAAAGTATAAGAAGAAGCCTCTCCGAGCCCCATTCTTAAAATAGAACGTAACGCCCACTTGCCATGACAGACACAGGAAGCATCCCACAAATTTGTTAATTTCTAAGCACACATGCTTTTCTGTTGAATCTGTGATCACTTAATTGATAAATACGTAAATTTTCTATCAGTAGACAAGAAAGATAAAATAGTTTGCATAAACAGTGGCCCATTTTATAACAATGTACCCGGTGTATTTAGACTGACAGACATTACGTTCAAAATATGAGAAGAATAATGTGCATTAAAATACTTTTGTATGTTAATTTTATCCTTCCTAAACAGTAGTGAATGAAGATATTCTGTGTACAGGGTATTATCGCCGTATATTTTTCATTTATTTTGACATGGTTGAAAATGTCCCCCTACACATGCGTGATTCTAGTGGAATTATCAAATTCATTTCAAGAAAAAAAAGTAAGTTGATGAAAAAATCTGCTTATATCATCTTTTTTTATATATTTGCAATATACTTTTCAATATAAAACATTTCTTAGGTCAATTTTTTAAATAATTTAATTTATATTCCTCTTGTTAAAATCATAGGTCAAGATGTACTCAAGAGCGAATTAAGAGCCAAAATATAATCAAGGTTTTTTTTTATAACTTGTGGAAGCTCGGTTAAACCTTAAAATATACCAGATAATTTCACATTTATATAATCATATATCTGAGAAATGTGTATACAATTTCTTTATTGGTAAAGATCTGTATTGTACAATCTACATTTTACTGATTTGTAGAAGGAAATCCAAGCAGGAGGTGAGGCAGGGGTTTGGGGACGACTTGACCCCGGACCAGACGGAGGCGGTCAATCACTTGAAGGCAATGTTCCCAGACAGAAGTATGGACATTCTACAGCAAGCTCTGGAGGCACAGTCCTGGAATGTTGAGAATGCTGTCGATCACATGATTGATTCATGTAAGTCACATGATATCTATATATAGAAAAAAGTTATACATGCTGTATAATGTGGAAGAAGGCCCTTAAAAATGAATAAGAATGTTGAAAAAAAAACCAAGTATCTCTGATTTTCCAAGCACCTTGTATGAATGATTCTATAGACACTGTGAGATAAATAATACATTTTTCTTCAGAATATATTTTTCGAACAATTTCATTTTGCTTGTTTTTGTATAGTAGCCTATTAGTAAGACAAATATTTAAATGTGAATGAATTGCATGTACTTTAAACTAGTGGCAAAATTAACAAAACTGTTGACTACTTGTAGCCAAGGCCCTCAAAAAGAAGGGTGCCAAAAAGCGAATTATACGTGTGGACAGCAGTGATTCCGATGGGGAAGGAGGGTCACCAATCCATCACCCCTCTAAAAGGGCACGACCTCTAGACTCCATTGACCTTGACCAGACTCAAATCTCAGAAGAGGAGAAGAATAAAAGGATCGTCTTCCTTCAGGAGGCATTTCCCGGGAAAAAACGAAGGGTGAGTTCTTGTCTGACAACAGATGAATGAAATAGTTATTCCATGCTGTGTTTTTTTTTCAGTTTAATTTAATACTGTTAACTGTGTTTGCCATAAAAAATTCTGTTAATTCTCCAGCTAGGGAATACATGACAATAGATTCAAGAGACAAACCTCATGCACAGCTATTTTTAAACTCCATGAGATAAAATGTCATGTAAATAAAATGTCATGTAAATGTGTGATATTTATTCAGGATCTACAGAGAGCTTTGGAGAATAACAATTGGCAGACAGACGATGCCCTCCTGGAACTTAGTAACTTCATGGATAACGGCAAAGAGAGACAAGGTATGGTCCTACT